CTTGTCCCAAAGCCTAATTCAGTTTCAAATTTTGTATTTGCTGTACTCTTCAGCAACTGCTTCCTTTTGTTTTTCTGCAAGCTTTATAAGCTGCATTGTGTTTCAACAGTCTTCAATACATTCTGTATTTGATATCTGTTTGCTATATAATCAACAATAATCTTTAGCAGTTTGTTGCCTCCTCTATTTTTGAAATGTCTGTTGTACTGCCCTCCCAATCAGAAGTCTTAGTTGTTTTTTCTTGTATCTTCCTAAACTGATAAATCAGTGGGTTATCTGATTTTATTGCCCTTTTCAAAATATTTCTGTTTGGTAAAATGCACATTCTTGTATTAACTTCCATTAAATTTAGATGTTTAAAATAGTTTTAATCATTTGTTCTGTGTCCAAAAGAGGATTCTTCCTCTTTGTTAATTTGTAATTGCTTCAGTTCATTTGTCAATAGTTCTATCTGTTTTTCTGTGCATGCTTTCGTTCCATTTGATGTCAAAGAAATATGTTGTCATTTAATAAATGTGGTTTACAATTCTAAGAGAATATTGAACCTAAGTGTTCACATGAACTAAAAAGCTTTTGCCAAACTAGTTTAACTACAAATATTCCTTCATCTATGGCATCAGATTCAAGAATAGTAGTGAATGTGACTATGATTTAAATCTAATTAGTGTATGCATGAAAACTACACCAATCTCCTATTTGTATAGATTGAAATCCTAAACATGCTTACTTGGGAGTAAGTTTCATTTAATCGTGTGACTTATGAATAAATACAGACAATTGTTCCACAAGTCTCCATCATACCTCACATTTATGAATTTTGCATTCATTTTCTTTTTGCTCAACACTGATTTTATTTATCATTATCTGCCAATTTTGTTCAAAAGTACCACCTTTCCCAGGTGTTATTTCCATGGAATGTTGATTTTTTAGTTGCAAGCATCTCTTTCAGAAAACAGATGCTTGACAACTTTGTCTTCTACTCAACTTTATGAAACTATTCAGCAGTCAGTGAAACATGAATCTGATGCTGAACTAGGAAAAGAACATATCAGCTAATATGGCTGAATCCTTCCAGCACTGAGCCACTGTTAGAAAATTAGGGAGGAAAAAAACTTTGGGGAGAACCTTCCTGTGCATTTAGCAAAACTGAGTGGTAGAAGTTTGGATTACACTACTCCTATCACTTTGCAGATTGATGGGTGTTTCAAGTTGAGTTTGCAACCATTCACTAACAAATCATAATTCTTTAATTAAACTAGATTGTTCTCATGACCTCACTCTAGATGGCCTTCAGATGGCTTCTATACAATTATGCTGGCCCACTTCCTGGTACTAATTTGTCCCAACATGATCATTATATTATCCTTTCTATCTGCTCTGCCAACTGATCTATATAGCATAATATGTTCAAGTATTTATGATAGAGATGCATGAATGATGTAAACCAGTGGCACCCAACCTTTTGGGCACCAGGGACTGGTTCTGTGGAAAGAGATTTTTCTGCAGACTAGGAGGGAGCATGATTCATGTCCTGTTTGCATCCCATGTATGTGCGGATGGGGCTTCGCTTGTTTGTGTAGCTAGGTTTCTGGTATGCCACGGATCGGTGCTGATCTGTGCCCCAGGGGTTGGGTACCCCTGATATAAATGATCAATTCGCCCTTTCTTACCATTTCTCTGCCAAATCTGCCAAACAATGGCCAACTTTTATTCCTTTTACAGATAAGGAAAAAAAATGTATCACAATCTCTCCTAGGCTTGATATGACTTACAGAGTATCCTTTTCTGTAGGATTCTTTAAAGTTAAATACAACCAATAATTTCTCATCAGAAGATAATCTTTTTTTTTTATTCAAATAAGCAAATGCTGAAGATGGGAGTGACAGAAGAGTAGGAAAGGTAGTGGGTGGGGATATTATTGGTGATGGGATTCTTCACCAAGAAGAACTGCACCAGTGGGAGCAGTTTTGTCATGGAATAGGAAAGAAATCACACAAAGCAACAAAAGGGGAATCAAGACATCTTGTCTGCACCCTTCTTAAGCTTTATATTAGCCACATCCATTTATTTTATATAAAAACACAAAAAGTTGATTAAAGGAATATTTTGATATTTTCTCCCATTTGGCATTCGGAGGAATTTAAACTAAGATATCAGGGGCCTGAATATTCAACAACGTAGTAGTGTGAGGCCTGAATATCTAGAAAATCTGGTATTTATGGAGAAGAATATACCACCATTTGTTGCAATGAAACAAGGTTGCTGCTTATGGTTAATTTAATATTATTGTAATATAGTCAGAATTCTGTCTCAAGCATAAATCTATATTGCTGAAGGCTGAAGAGCTATTTCACTAGCACTCTTCCAATTGAAGATTCCTCTTTCAGTCTTATTATGAGTGTAATTTTTATCAGTATAAATCAGTCTGCAAAATCCTATATTCGTATTATGAAAGACCAGAAATATCAGTGCTGCACCTGTGGAACAATTGTGGAATCAAATATATACTTGGTCAGGAAGAGCAGGGGAAAACTCCTAACCAGAAATTACAATTGATCGATCAATTGGCTGGAGCTATCTTTACTTCAGCCTCATTCAATCAAAAATGTCCTAGGAAGAATATTTTCAGTGCCTCTTAGTGAACTTCCACTGCAACTTCATTACGCTCAAAGTTTTTTGAGCTCTAGTGGCGTAGTGGTTAGAATGCAATATTGCAGGCAAACTTTGCCCACAGCCTGGAGTTCAATTATGACAGGCTCAAGATTGATTTAGCCTTTCCGAGGTTGGTAAAAAGAGGACCCAGCTTTTTGGGGGCAATATGCTGATACTGAGTGATAAACCACTCAGAGAGTACTATAAAGCACTATGGAGCAGTATATAAGTCTAAGTGCTATTGCTATTTTCCTTTGTTAAAGAAAATTTTAAAATGAATAAATCCTTTAATGCCATGTTATGGTACACAGTAATGATATAAATAATGGCAATCACCTGTATTTAAAATAAATGAACGTATGTCAATTAACTTCATGAACCTTCTGAAAAAGTCTGCACCCTTTTTAGGATGCATGCAAATACACAATAAACTTGTTAGTATGTGATTTTTACCCTAGCCTAGTAAAAAAGCAAAAATTCAAACATATGGTTTAATGAAATTGAATCCTGGAAGAAATAGGAGAGACAAGAAATTTTTTTAAAAAAACACAACACATAATTAAGCTTTGGAATTTGCTACCACTAGATGCAGTGCTGGCAAGGAGCTTAAAAAATAGAGTTGGGCCAATTCATGATAGCCAGGAAGCTCAATAGCTCACTGCTTGCTGGCAGTGTGACTGGTTCTGAAGGCAATCTGCTGGGAGACTAGTGGGCTTCCTTGATTAGTTTGTTGGCCACTGTGAGATTGGATCTAACTAGCTTGGTGTTGGCTTTGCTTATCCCCTTTGTGTATTTCCATGAATGAAATACATTTTTCCCCATGCTTGAAATACATCTTTTCATTTCCCTTGCCTCATTAATCTTTGCTCAGGCCAAGATCCCCTCTTTCAGAAATACTGTCTCACACAAATTCACCTTTCTCCAACAATTTCTACAAAGGCCTTTGAGATACCTATACAATCTTTGACTGCCTCAGAGTTCAAAAAGGAGCAACATGATTTATTTTTGAAGTAACTGGATATGAAAACACTAATAAATAATGGGCATGAAATGCTCTTGACCTTAAATTGGTATTCTTCTGAGAGTATCCAATTTGTTATATATGGAACTGAAAAACTAGAACACTGCCTCTCAGTGAAACAAACATCAGTAGTAATGACAATTAAGAACCACCTTCATATCATTTCTCAGACATTTCTCAGACATCAACATTTTGCCACCCTAAAGCTATATCAGTGGCCTTCAACCTAATTTTTCATGCTTGGCTTGATTTCTAAAGCCCTCTAGAAGCCATGATTTCCTCTGGCAAGATCAACATATCAGGGAATGATGGAGAAAAATCCATAAAGAACAGGATGTTGTATGGAAAAAGACAATTGGGATGTCAGAAATGGGGGGGCGGGGCGGGGGAGTGAGAGAAAGAAGGAAAGTGGATGGCTCTGATTTTATCATATCACCGCTGATATGCAATGCCCTAAAGATTATTTGCAAGGGAATACTTTCCTACCCATTTGGCAATTGAAAAGCATGCAAATGTGGGTAGATTAATAGGTACCACTTCGGTGGGAAGATAACAGCATTCTGTGTGCCTTTGGCATATAGTCATGCTGGCCACAGAAATGTCTTCAGACAACACTGGCTCCTTTAGCCAAGAAACAGAGATGAGCACCATGTCCTAGAGTTGGGCTCAACTGGACAGGGAAACCTTTACTTTCTTTTTTCTTTTTAACACTTCTTAAGAGAACCAAAAGGCTGTTGGCACTGCCTTATATCCTAGTAGCAGAATAAATGTCTATATCCAAAGTCTCGAGTGACACTAAATGAAAGCATTTAGCCAATAAAGATGAGCAGGCAATCCTTTGCCATCGTCCCTGAATACATACATAATGATCTAATATACTTAATTTGTTGGCTCCAGACGATGCTCTGTATTGCACCAGGTAGTTAGAGCTTTCCTTTAGTACTGTTTTAAAAATGATTAGATAACAGCATTTTCATGTAAGATACCAAGTCCCAAATTCATGTTGGTTATTATATTCTGAAGCAAAATGCATACTAGGAAACTATGACTGACATCTCCCAGGTCCATCTTCTCCCTCTTTCCTTCCCTCTTGATGTATTATCCTTAGTTTTCCTTAATTGTTATCCTATAAATATTTAATAGCAAGTTTAAATACTTGCTATCTCCTCAGCAAAAGAACTTGAATGCAAGGTTGATGAATGAATTAAATGAATGAATTAAATGAATTAAAACTGTACTATCCCATTAAACACAATCAAACTTACCCTCTCTTTCTCTCCTCCACTCCACTTTTTTCTTCGTCTCTCTTTTTCTCTCTTTCTCTCAGATTAGGAATGAGCACAGAAACTGAATGGATGACTTTGGACTGATCATTCCCTTTCAGCCTTGACTGAAAAGTTAAAAACAAACAAAAAAACCCCTCTCATCTAACATTCTGCACCAGACCAATGCAGTAGAGCCATCTTGTCCATAGCCTTCAGTGAAGAGGCTTACCTCCTGCAGTGGATTGATTTCAGATGATGAAGATGATATCTTGATAATGAATCTGCAGACTTCTGAACCAAGGTTTATAAATGTGGATAATATTCTGTAAAAAGCTCATGTGTGCTCATATATGGATCAACAATAATAATGATAATATTTTTGTAGTAAATAAAAGTTTTGAATAGGGTTGCTCAAATTGCAAATATAAATTGTGAGAACTACTCTATGTGAGGGCCTGTGAACCTCAAGTTGATTATATTTTCATATCACCTCAGCATTAGAACCATGTCTTTGTAGTAGGTTAAAGCACAAGAAAGAAAGGACCAGACAGTAAAGTTAAGACAGTATTTGAAATTAATATTTTTTTAGAGGAAGAGAGTTCCTAGGTTGAACCAGTGGTGGGATTCAGCCGGTCCTCTCCTGATCGTGCGAACTGGTAGTGGCGACGACGGTAGGCTCCGCCTACCCAATCTGATGTAATGTGCACCTACTGCGCATGCGCAGAAGACCGTGCGCATGCACAGATGAGGCGCGTGAGAGCGGAGTGAGAGTGTGCACGAGCGCATTCACATTTGTGAACCGGCAAGGAAGGTAAGTGAATCCCACCACTGGGTTGAACTCTGCATATTAAAACAAAGTTTTCAGACAGATACAAGTATGCAAAATGTACTTCCATTTTCTGAGCCAGCTGTAAGAATTGAAAACCACAGCTATTCACTGGCAACTAATGTATGTGTCAACTCAAATTAGTAGCAGTTGCCAGTTTTTGCTATCTAGAAAAGAGAGCAAGAATAGCTCCTAAAATTTGACATACTTTAGATAATCTTAGTAATTATTGTATTTAAAATTGCTCCATTTTACAGTGTTTTAAGCCAGAAGAGTGGATATAAAGCCTCAATTAGCCATTGATAGATGGGCATGTCTGCTTATGTTTCCCATTATTACTACTGCATTTTTCCCACACCTGATATATATGTGGGGCTTGTAACTCCCACATTTTCTAGCCAGGTTGAATAAATTTGCTTTATTTATTCAACAATTTCAAGGGCTGCAAAACGTGCCATTATGCCATGAATTTCCCTCCTATTAAATAGAACAGGGACAAACTAAAGACAGTGCACGTATAATATGTATGTATGGTCTTGATTAGATGTATTCTGAGAAAGATGGAGGTTTAAGGTTGCTACTTACTGTATTTTCATTTTAGAGACACAGAACAATCTATTTTTGCTTTGCTAGTTAGTCATCCATCTGATTAAAAACAAAACATCTTGAAACATCTTCCTTATTTTCTGTATGTTTCAGGCACAGATAATTGCTTTTTAACCTAAGAACTACTGTATGCTGCATAATTTGAAGAAATATAATAGCTTAAGATAAATACCTTCTATATAGAAATTCACACAAAGTAGTTTCCGCTAAAACTTTGGATGAAATTAAATCTGTAAACTTCTTGATTTCTAACCTGAGCAAGCTCCGTCTCCAAGGGCTACAAGGATGAAGTCCTGCCTGCTGCTTGAAGTGACACAGCAATCCTGGTATGACCTAACTATTACCAATGAAAAGGAACTTTTAAAATGACTTGAAATCACCCTGAAAAGCAGTAGAATTTGATCACTTTATCACAATGGTCCCCAATCTTTCCTTCTAGGTGGACTGGTGGGCGGGGGGATGGTTATGTGCGAGCGACAGGTGCGGGAGAGCATGCAACTCCATTTGTGCAACCTCGTACAAGGGGAACTGTGTGAGAGCGAGCACCTTCAGCCGCTGCTCACACAAGTGGAGCTGCGTCTGCACACGTGCCCAGTTCCGAATGGGCCATGGTCCAGTCATGGCCCACGGCATAGGGGTTAGGTTTATCCTGGTTTATCACATTCATGTTTCAAGTCTCAAAGCCGTGCAAAAACAAATGTGAACTTAAGTCTATTCTGTGTACTGCATTTAAAGGCCATGCTTTTAAGATCCACGTTTAATGGAACTATGGATAAATACATTTTTTTTTTAAAAAAAATAGATAAATTGATTGGTAGTCATTTAAACTATTTTTATACTGGCACGGTAAGTTTTTGGATTCCTTGAACTCTCTTTACAAAATAATGGTCATGAATTTAACAACATACAAATCAGGAATTTAATATTAAATTCAGAAGACCCCTGTGATATAACATCACCTCGCCTTTTCCTCCTAAAATAGCTGCTTTCATAAATCACAAATAAATCTGGGAGTCAGCAAGGATCTCTCTTTTTCCTCCCCAGAGTCATACATTAGAAGGAGAATTAGCAAATATAGTTTGTGGTTCTTCTGACTGGGAAAAAGAAATAGTTGTGATCAGTGGTGAGATTCAAGTAATTTAACAACCGGTTCTCTGCCCTAATAATTTCTTCCAACAACCAGTTCACCAAACTGCTTAGAAAGTTAACAACCGGTTCTCCTGAAGTGGTGCGAACTGGCTGAATCCCACCACTGGTTGTGATGACCAAAGCAATAATCATGCATAGCCAAACTCCATAATTAGCAGATGGTCAGGGAATGGTCATATAAAGCCAGAAGACCAAAGATTTACTGAAAAGTAAATGCATCAAACATTGTACTGTTAAAACTATGCTATTTGTTAAACATCACTGGTTATTTCAGAAAATTAACTTTTTTAAGATAAGGTAAGGAAAAAAAATGAAAATATCCATTTGAACCAATTTAAATGGCGCAGTGGCGCAGTGGACTAAGTGCTGTTAAAGTAGCACTTAATTGCCAGCTGCCTGCAATTACTGCAAGTTCAAATCTCACCAGGCTCAAGGTTGACTCAGCCTTCCATCCTTTCGAAGGTAGGTAAAATGAGGACACGGATTGTGGGGGCAATAAGCTGACTTTGTATATAAAAGAACACCGTTTGGGGGCGGGGGGAAGCCCTACTAAGCAGGTATATACAAAAGTATGAAGGCTATTGCTTAACGCATTGTAAGCCGTCCTGAGTCTCCGGAGAAGGGCGGCATATAAATCGAACTAATAAATAAATAAATAAATTTACAAATTCAGCAAACTCATCATAATGTAGATTAATAATCATTAGAACAGCAGTACTGATCTATTTAAACCTTGATACATAATTCTTTATCATTAAAGATAAACTCAACAAAGGCTACCTGAATGCAGCTTTTATTATTTTTAATCAGTAATCTCTGGTTTGATTATATGAAACACTGAAAAATCTAGCAAATGGTCCACCAAATGTTAGAAATGGAAACAGAATATCTGGGCAGGTTACTGATCACCACAACATGCCTTTACTGATTTTTAATCAGAAGTAACAGAATATCAAAGTTGGAAGGGACATTGGAGATCTTCTAACCCAACTCCCTGCTCAAGCAGGAGTCCCTCTATCATTCCAGACTAATTATTCCAGTTTTCCAGTCTTCTTCAAAGCCTCCAGTGATGAGCACCCATAACTTCTGTTCCACTAATTAATTGTTCTCACTCTCAGGAAATTTCTCCTTAGTTCTAGGCTGGATCTCTCTTTGATAAGTTTCCATCTGTTACTTCTTGCCTTGCACTGAGGTGCTTTGGAGAATTGGTCAATCTCTTCTTCTCTGTGATAGCCCCTCAAATATTGGAAGACTGTTATCATAATATCCCCAGTTCCTGCAACCATTCATCATGTTTTAGCCTCCAGACCCCTAATCATATTTTCTTTTCTTTTCTTTTTCTTTTGTTTTGGATTTAGAATTTCATTAATGTCTCAGTGGCAAATAATGAGGCAAAAGGCTAATCATATGACTTTAAAAGTCATAGGCACTTTGGAGGGTGACAAGCTCAGTGGCTAAGACACTGAACTTGTCTATCAGAAATGTCGGCAGTTCGGCGGTTCGAATCCCTAGTATAGGTCTCCTGCATGAGCAGGGGGTTGGACTAGATGACCTCCAAGGTCCCTTCCAACTCTGTTACTGTTAATTTGTAGATCAAGTGACACCAAAGATCTCTTTTATGGTTAAATTGGTTGGATCAGACCAGTGGTGGGATTCAAGTAATTTAACAACCGGTTCTCTGCCCTAATGATTTCTTCCAACAACCAGTTTGCCAAACTGCTCAGAAAGTTAACAACCGGTTCTCCTGAAGTGGTGCGAACTGGCTGAATCCCACCACTAGATCAGACTGATAAACTGTTGGGCTGTTACATAATGAAGATTATGGTTAACTTTTTAACAAGATAACATGGTAAATTGTTCACAAGTTTGGCAATGGTGTAGTTGTCACGGTCTACCAAATTGTTTTGGGAGACAATCACCAAACCATCTCTCCACCACTGAGCACAAAATAGTCATAAGGAATGCAGAAGAATTGTGCTCTACTCACTTTATTACAGGAGGAATCATTCTCCTGATCTGAAATTGGGGGTGGTGGTGGGGGGCATGAAATACAATTTATGGTGAGATGTAACATTTGCTTTTGGAGTATCTAGTGTAGGATTAGCAAATCGGCTCTCTGCTGTTAAGTGTGGGTTCCTTCCTTCGAAGCTTCCTCCTGCATGCATGGATCTAGTTTTGTGCACCTTCAAGATGATTACTGGCATTGGCAGGACTAGAACATGGGAATGCATATGAAGCTTCAAATGGGAAAAAAATAATAGTACTGGTAATAAAAACTGTCCTTTCTTTGTCAAAGAAGAATGTTTTAATGTTACATTTTAATAAAACCCTCCTTTATTTTAATGAAATGGCCATTGAGTTACGGTACTTTTTTATTATTTATTTTTATCTGTTACATGTATTTGCTACCTATCTTGCTGTGGAACTGTATTATATATTTTATAATTATCATTATATACTGTATTATATGTATACTATACTAGTAAGAATTGGCTGCATTGTTTTGCCCAGTATAGCTTAGCGGCATAGAAACTGGGTACAGATGAAGCCATCATAGCTTCTGACCCACCATGCTGAGAGCAGCCACACAGACATGCACAACCCCCCTCAGAGGATTGACTGTGGTGCAAAACTGAGATAGGACTGAGTAGTCCTGCAGTGGGCATCCTATGTAATGGGTGAACTGGTTTTTGCTTAATGGATTATATTAGGTGTCACCT